TCCAGAGTAAGTGTTCTCCTCCAAACCTTTCCCTTTGTGCTACATGAACGAAATTCTCTCCACATATTCACTTCTGGGTAAAAAGTATGTATAAAAGCTGTCCTTCACCTAGCTTGATGCTATCACAAAGTTTCTTTTATTTGCAAACTCCACTACATACATACATTTGGGGAGGTACAAGCTCCATATCGAATTTACACTGAAAACAGCAGGAACTTCATAGCAGGACTAGGAAAGAGACTGAGAACCCAGAACAAGTGTTTCTCCTGCAACCCATTCCCGTTGTGCTAGATGAACGAATGGCTCTCCACGTGCTCATTTCTGAGAAATAAGTGTGTGTGAAGCCGTCCTTCAACTAACTTCCTGGGAACACAAATTTTTTTTCAGTAGGAAACTACACTTCATACATATATATGGTGTGATATTATCTCTAACAAGGTTTTACAGTGAAAATTTCAGGCAAATTGAACCCGGCACTAGGAAACAGACTGAGAAACCAGAGCAATTATTTCTCTTGCAACAAATTCCCTATGTTCTAGATGAAAGAAAGTTTATTCACATCCTCAATTCAGAGAGATAATAGTGAATGAAATCCGTCCTTCATCATGCTGTTTGGAAAACAAAGATTCTTTTCAGCTGGAAATAAAATTACATGTATATATATAAGGGTGATGTTAGCTCCAACTGGTTTTACACTGAAAACTGCAAGAACTTCACACCAGAGTTAGGAAATAGCCTAGGAAACCAGAGCAAGTGTTTCTCCTGCAACCTGTTCCCTTTGTGCTAGATGAATGAACTTCTCTCCATATGTTCAATTTTGAGCAATTATAGTCTGTAACCCTTCATTCATCTTGCTTATTGGAAACAAAACCTTTGTTTTCAGTTGAAAACTACACTACTTATTTTTATACGGGTAGGTAATAGCTTCAAATCAGTTTTAAACTCAAAACTGCAGTATTAACAAACAGGCAGCAGGAAATAGCCTGAGTAACCAGAGTAAGTGTTTTTCTTGCAACCCGTTCCTTTGTGCTGCATGAACAAATATCTCTCACCATGCTGAGATCTGAGGTATAAGACTGTATGAAGGCTGACATGCCATATGCTTGTTGGAACACAAAGTTTCTTCTCTGGTGGAAACTACACTTCATACATATATATGGGGAGGTACTAAAAACTCAGTTTTACAGTGAAAATCAGGAAATTCAATGAAGCACTCTGCCACAGAGTGAGAAACCAGAGTATCTCTATCACCTGCATCTGAGAGATAAGTGTGTGTGAAATCAAGCTTCCAACTATCTGTTGGGAACACATAATTTCTTGTCAGTTGGAACTACACTGCATATGGGGAGGGTCAAGCTCCAACTCGGTTTCATACTAAAATTTGAAGGAACATCAAACTGGCACTAGGAAAGAGACTGTACACCATAGTAAGTGTTTCTCCTAAAAAGCGTTCCATTTGTGCTGTATGAATGAATGTCTTTCCTCATCCCCATTACTTAGAGAAAAGTGTGTGTGAAAGCCGTACTTCAACTAGCTTGAAGGGAACACAAATTTCCTTTTCATTTGGAAACTACACAACATAAATATTTATGGTGAGGTACGAGCACCAACTTGATTACAGTCAAAACTGCAGGAACTACAAACAGGATGAAGAAAAGGGACTGAGATAAGACAGTAAATGTATCTCCTACAACCTGGTTCCTTTGTCCTAGATGAATGAACATCTTTCCACATGCTCTTTTCTGAGATATAAGTGTGTGTGAAAGCCGTATTTCACCTAGATTGTTGGGAACACAAGGTTTCTTTACAATAGGAAACAACACTATATATATTTATATGGGGAAGTGCATGTTCCAAAACGGTTTTACAAAGAAAACTGGAGGAATATAGAATCAGATTTAAGAAATAGACAGAGAATCTAGTGTAATTGTTTCATCTGAAACCCGTTCGCTTTGTGCTAGATGAAAGAACGTCTATCCACATGCTCAGGTCTGAGAGATAAGTATACATTTAAGCCGTACTTCAACTACCTTGTAGGGTACACAGAGTTTCTCTTCAGTTGCAAACTACAAAACATACATACATATGGGGTGGAACAATTTCCTAGTAGGTTTTACAGTGAAAATTGCAGGAATATTAAACTGGCACTAGGAACCAGACTGAGAAAGCAGAGTAAGTGTTTCACATGCAAACCTATCCCATTGGGCTATATGTATTAATGTCTCTCCACATGTTCATTTCTGAGAGATAAGTGTCTTTGAAAGCCATCATTCCCTTTGCTTGTTAGGAACACACAGTTTCTTTTCAGTTGGAAATTGCGCAGCAAGCATATTTATGGTGAGGCAACGCTGCAACATTATTTTACAGGGCAATTTGTAGGAAATTGCAACTGGCTCTAGGGAACAATCTGAGAAGGCAGAGTAAAAGTTTCTCCTGCAAAATTTTCACAAAGTGTTTGATGAAAGAACGTCTCTCCACATACTCAGTTCAGGGAGATAAGTGTGTGTGAATGCCGAATTTCTCCTAGCTTTTTGGGAATACAAAGTTCCTTTTCAATTGCAAACTCCACTACATACATATATATTGGGAGGTACAAGCTCCAAATCGTATATACAGTGAAAGCTGCAGGAACATCAAAGCAGAACTAGGAAACAAACTGAGAAACCAAGAAAGAGTTTCTCCTGCTATACGAGCCCATTTTGCTAGATGAAGGAACGTGTCTCCACATGCTCAGTTCTGAGAGATAAGTGTGTGAGAAAGCCATTCTTCACCTAGTTTGTTGGGAACACAAAGTTTCTTTTCAGTTGCAAAATCCACTGCATACATATATGTTGGGAGGCACAAGCTCCAACACGGGTATTCAGTGAAAACTGCAGGAACTTCAAACCAGCACTAGGAAACACACTGAGAAAACATAGTAATTGTTACTCCTGCAACCCTTTCCCTTGTGTTAGATGAACAAAATTCTCTCCACATTTTCAGATGTGTGAGATAAGTGTGTGTGAAAGTCATCCTTCACCTCACTAGTTGGGAACACATAGTTTCTTTTCATTTGCAAAGTCCATTTCATACGTTTATATGGGTAGGTACAAGTTCCATATTGCATTTTCAATGAAAACTGCAGGAAATTCAAACCAGCACTAGGAAGCTGACTGAGAAATCAGAGTAAGTGTTTCTCCTGCAATCCATTCCATTTGTGCAAGATGAACCATTATCTCTCCAAATGCTCAGTTCTGAGAGATAAGTGTGTGTGAATGCTGTTCTTCACCAAGCTTGTTAGGCACACAAAGATTCTTTTCAGTTGCAAACACCACAAGATATATATTTATATATGGAGAGGTACAAGCTTCAACTCGGATTTACAGTGAAAATTGAATGAACTTCAAAGACACACTAGGAAACAGTCTGAGAAACCAGAGTAAGTGTCTCTCTTGCAACCGTTCCCTTTGTGCTAGATGAGCGGAAGTCTCTCAACATGCTCAGTTCTGAGAGATAAGATTCTGTGAAAGCGGTTCTTCACCAAACTTGTTAAGAATACAAAGTATCTTTTCAGTTGCAAAATCCACTACATACATATATATGGGGAGGTAAAGACTCCAACTTGGATTTACAGTGAAAACTGCAGGAAATTCAAAGCAGCGCTAGGAATCAGACAGAGAATCCAGAGTAATTGTTTCTCCTGCAACCTGATCCAATTGCATGAGCTGAAGGAACGTCTCTCCACATGTTCAGTTCTGAGAGATAAGTGTGTGTGAAAGCCATAATTTACCTGGCTTGTTGGGTATATAAATTTTCTTTTCAGATGCAAACTCCAATACATACGTATATATGCAGAGGTAAAAGCTACAAATCTGATTTACAGTGAAAACTGCATGAACTTCAAAGTGGCATTAGGAAACAGACTGGAAACCAGGGTAAGTGTTTCCCTTGTAACCCGTTGAATTTGTGCTAGATGAACGGACATATCTCCACATGCCCAGTTCTGAAAGATAAGTGTGTGTGAAAGCCATCCTTCACCTAATATGTTGGGAAAACAAATTTTCTTTTCAGCTGTCAACTCCACAATGTACATATATATGGGGTGATACAGGCGCCAACTCTGCTTTTCATCGAAAATTGCAGGAAATTCAAACCAGCACTAGGAAACAGACTGAGACCAGAGTAAATTTTCCTCCTGCCACCCATTCCTTTGTGCTATATGAACAATCTTCTCTCCAAATACTCAGTTCTAGGAGATAAGTGTGTGTGAAAGACGAACGTCAACTTGCTTGTTGGGAACACAAAGATTTTTTTCATTTGCCAACTACATTAGATGCATATATATGGGTAGGTACAAGCTCCAACTCGGATTTTCAGTGAAAACTGCAGGAACTTCAAAGCAGCACTAGGAAACAGACTGATACCAGAGTAATTCTTTTTCCAGCAACCCATTCCATTTGTGCTAGTTGAATGAACGTCTCTCGACATACTCAATTCTGGGAGAAAATTGAGTGTGAAAGCAGTCCTCCACCTAGCTTGTTGTGAAAACAATCTTTGTTTTCAGTTGCATACTCCACTGAATAATTTTATATGAGGAGGTACAATCTCCAAATTGGATTTTCAGTGAAAACTTAAGGAACTTCTTTCAAGCACTAGGAAACTATCTGAGAAAAGAGAGTAAGTGTTTCTATTGCAACACCTTCCCTTGTGCTCTATGAACGAAAGTCTCTCCACATGCTCAGTTCTGATAGGTAAGTGTAAATGAAAGCTGTTCTTCAGATAGCTTGTTGGGAACACATAGTTTCTTCACAGTTGCCAATGCCACTACATAAATATATACAGGAGGTACAAGCATCAACTCTAATTTTCAGTGAAAAATGCAGAAAATTCAAACCGGCACTACGAAATAGACTGAAATACCAGAGTAAGTGTTTCTCCTGCAACCTGTTCCCTTTGTGATAGATGAACTAACGTCTCTCCACAAACACAGTTCTGGGAGCTAATTGTGTGTGAAACCCTTACTTCACCTAGCTGGTAGGGAACACAAATTTTCTTTTCAGTTGCAAACTCCAGTACATACATATATGCGGGAGGTACAGGAGTCAACTCACTTTTTCAGTGAAAACTGCAGGAACTTCTGACCGGCACTAGGAAACAGACTGAGAATCCACAGTGTTTCTCCTGCATCCCGTTTCCTTTGTGCTAGATGAAAGAACGTCTCTCCACATGATAAGTTCTGAGAGTTAAGTGTGTGTGAAAGCTGTCCTTCACCTAGTTTGTTGGCAACACAAATTTTCTTATTTTTTGGTAACCCATCTACATACTTATATATGGGGAGGTCCAAGCTCCAAATCTGTTACACTGTGGAAAATGTACGAACTTCAAAATGGCACTAGGATTCAGACTGAGAAATCAGAGTAATTGTTTGACCTCCAACCAGTTCCCTTTGTGTTAGTTGAAAAAACGTCTCTCAACATGCTCAGTTCTGAGGGAAAATTGTGTGTGAATGCTGTACTTATACTTGCTTCTTGGGAACACAAACTTTCTTTTCAGTTGGAAACTCCACTACATATTTATATGTGGGGAGGTAAAAGCTCCAATTCATTTTCACAGAAAAAGTGCAGGAACTTCAAAATGGCACTTAGAAACTGACTGGGAAACCAGAGGAAGTGTTTCTGCTGCCTACCGATCCCTTGTGCTAGATGAATGAAAGTCTCTCCATATGCTCAGTTCTGAGAGATAAGTGTGTGAAAGCCGTCCTTCACCTAGCTTGTTGGGATCACAAAGTTTCTTTTCAATTGGAAACTCCTCTTCATAGTTATATGTGGACAGGTACAAACTCCAACTCGGCCTTCCAGTGAAAATTTCAGGAACTTAAAACCGGCACTAGGAAACAGATTGAGAAGCCAGAGAAAGGATTTTTCCTGCAACCCATTCCCTTTGTGCTAGATGAACGAACGTCTCTCCATGTGCTCAATTCTGAGAGACAAATGTGTGTGAAAGCCATCCTTCACCTAGCTTTTTGGGAACACAAAGTTTCTTTTAAAATGGAAACTCCAATATATACTTACATGTGGGGAGGTACAGGCTCCAACACGGTTTTACAGAGAAAACTGCAGGAACTTCAAAACGGCAATAGGAAACAGACTGAGAATCCAGAGTATGTGTTTCTACTGCCAACCGTTGCCTTCTGCTTGATGAATGAATGTCTCTCCACATGCTCAGTTCTGACAGATAAGTGTGTCTTAAAGCCATGCTTTAACTTGCTGTTGGAAACACAAATTTTCTTTTCCGTTGGAAACTCCACTGCCTAAATATATGTGTGGAGGTACAAGCTCCAACTCGGTTTTACATTGGAAACTGCAGGAACTTCTAATCAGCACTAGGAAACAGACTGAGAAACCAGAAGAAATGTTTATCCTGCAACCCGTAGCGTTGGTGCTAGATGAATGAACGTCTCTCCACATGCTCAGTTCTGAGAAATAAGTGTGTGTGAAAACTGTCATTGACTTGCTTGTTGGGAACACAAAGTTTTTTTCATTTGAAAATCCCAGTACGTACTTACATGCGGGGAGGTACAATCTCCTACACCATTTTGCAGTGAAAATTGCAGGAACTTCAAAGCGGCACTAGGAAACAGAGTGAGACACAAGAGTAATTTTTTCTGCTGCAACCCATTCCCTTTGTGCTAGATGAACCAACGTCTCTCCATATGTTCAATTCGGAGTGTTAATTGTATGTGAAACCTGCCCTTAACCTAGCTATTTGGGAACACAAAGCTCTTTTTCAGTTGGAAACCCCACTACATAATTATATGTGGGGAGGTACAAGCTATAAATCGATTTTTCACTGAAAACTGCACGAACTTCAATCCAGCACTAGGAAATAGACTGAAAAAGCACAGAAAGTGTTTCTCTGGTAACCCGTTCCCTGGTGCTATATGAATGAACGTCTCTGCACATGCTCAGTTCTGAGAGATAAGTGTGTCTTAAAGCTGTCCATTACCTAGCTTGTTGGGAACACAAATTTTCTTTTCAGTTGGAAACTCCATTGCATACTTATTTGTGGGAAGTTATAAGCTCCAACTCGGTTTTACAGTGAAAACTGCTGGAACTTCAAACCTATCCTAGGAAACAAACTGAGAAACCAGAGTAAGTGTTTCTCCTGCATCTGGATCCCTTACTGCTGGATGAACGATCATCTCTCCACATGTTCAGTTCTGAGAGATAAGTGTGTGTGAAAGCCGTCCTTCAACTAACTTGTTAAGAAACAAAGTTTCTTTGTGATTGAAAATTGCACTACATTCTTTTATATGGTGAGGTACGAACTCCAACAGCATTTTTCTGTGAAAACTACAGGAACTTCAAACAGGTACTAGGAAAAATACTGAGAAGCCAGAGTAAATGTATCTCCTGTAAACCATTCCCTCTGTACTAGATTAATGAACGTCTATCCACCTCTTCACTTCTGAGAGATATGTGTGTGTGAAATCCGTCCTTCACCTAGCTTGTTGTGAACACAAATATTCTTTTCAGCTGGAAAATGCATTACATATAAATATATATATATATATATATATATATGGTGAGGTGCGAGCTGCAAAATGGTTTATCAATGAAAACTGAAGGATCATCAAACTGGCAGTAGTAAACAGTCTGAGAACCCACAGTAAGTGTTTCTCCTGCAAACCATTCCCTTTGTTCTAGATGAACGAAGTTTCTCTTCATGCTCAGTTCTGAGAGGTATCTGTGTCTGAACTAGTCCTTCACATAGATTGCATGGGAACACATAATTTCTTTTCTCTTGGGAACTACACTACATCCATATAATTGGTGTGGTGCAAGCTCCAACTCATTCTTACAGTGAAAAATGCAGGAACTTCATACCTGCACTAGGAAACAGACTGAGAAATCTGAGTAAGTGTTTCACCTGCAGCCTGAACCCATTGGGCTATATGTACGAAATTCTCTCCACATGCTCAGTCCTGAGAAATATGTGTGTGTGAAAGCCTCTCTTCACCTAAATTGTAAGGAAGGCAATGTTTCTTTTCAGTTGAAATTACACTGCATTCATATATATGGTGATATACTTGACCCAGACCTTTTTTACATTCGGTACTGCAGGAATATCAAACAGGCAATAGGAAAATGACAGAAAACCAGAATAATTGTTTATCTTGCAACCTGTTTTTTTGTGCTAGATGAACGAACGTCTCTCCACATGCTGAAATCTGAGATATAAGTGTGGGTTAATGCCAACATGCCCTATACATCTTGGAAGACAAAGTTTCTTTTCAGTTGGGAACTACACCTCATACATATTTATTGGGAGGTACTAACAACTCGGTTTTACAGTTGAAACTGCAGGAACTTACAACCAGCACTGCACAGCAGAGTGAGAAACCAGAGTAAGTGTTTAACCAGAAAATCTTTGATTTTTTTCAAGATGAATGAAAGTCTCTCCACTTGCTAAGTTCTAAAAGATAAGTGGGTGTGAATGCCATCCTTCACATAAATTCTTAGGAATGCAAACATTCTTTTCAGTTGGAATCTAAATTATACATATATGTATATGGGAGTTATTAGTTCCAACTCGGTTTTACAGTGAAACCAACAGGTACTTCAAAACGGCACAAGGATATATCCTGAGAACAGAGCAAGTGTTTCTCCTGCAACACATTCCCTTTGTGCTAGATGAACAAACGTCTCTCCACATGCTGAGTTTTGAGAGATAAGTGTGTTTGAATGCTGTAATTCCCCTAGAATGTTGGGAACACATAGTTTCTTTTCATTTGGAAACTACACTACATACTTATTTATGAGGAGGTACTAGCTCCAGCACGGTTTTGCAGTAAAAACTGTAAGAACTTCAAACCGGAACTAGGACACAGACTGAAAAAAAAGAGTAAACGTTTATCCTGCAACCCATTCTCTTTGTACTACAAGAACGATAATCTCTCCACATGCTCAGTTCTGCGAATTGTGTGTGTGTGAAAGCCGTACTTCACATAGCTTGCTGGGAACACAAAGTTTCTTTTCACTTGGAAACTACAATACTACCAATATATGGGAAGGTACTACCTCCAACTTGGTTTTACATAAATACTGTAGTAACTTGGATCTGGCACTACTAAAAAGACACAGAAACCAGAGAAACTGACTCCCCTGCATCCTAATTCCTGTTAGCAAGTTGAATAAACTTCTCTCCACATGCTCAGATCTGAGAGAAAAGTGTGTGTGAAAACCGTCCTTCACCTATTTGTTGGGTACACATAGTTTCTTTCAGTACAAAATTGCACTACACACATATATATATATATGGAGGGACTAGCTCCATTCTGTTTTACAGTGACAACTTTAGGAACTTCAAACTGGCAATAGAAACAGGCTGAGAAGACAGAGTAAGTGTCTCTACTACAACACAGTCCCACTGGACTATATGTACTAACTTCTCTCCACATGCTCAATTCTGCAGGATAATGTGCTTGAAAGCCATCATTTCCTATGCTTGTTGGGAACACAAAGTTTCTTTTCAGTTGGAAACTTCAGTCCATACATATATACAGTAAGGTACTAGATCTAACTTGATTTTGCTAGCGAAAACTGCAGGAACTTCAAACTGGCAGTAGGAAATAGCCTTAGAATCAGAGCAATTTTTTCTCCTGCAAACCCATTCCCGATTGTGCTTGATGAATGAATGTCTTCCATCATGCTCTGTTCTGAGAGATAAGTTTGTGTGAAAGCGTTACTTCTCCTAGCATCTAGGGAACACAAAGTTTCTTTTCATTTGGAAGCTACAATATGTACATATTATTTGGGAAGAACAAAATCCATCTCCATTTTACAGAGAAAACTTCAGGCAGCTTCCAACCGGTTCTAGGAAACAGACTGAGAAACAAGAGTAAGTGTTTCACATAAAGCCATTCCCTTTGTGCTAGGTGAATGAAATTCTTTCCATATTCTCTGTTCTGAGAGATAAGTGTGTGTGAATACCATCTTCACCTAGCTTGTTGGGAACACAAAGATTCTTTTCAGTTGAAAACTACACTCAATACATACAAATGGGGGGTACTAGCTCCAAGTTGGTTTTAGAGTGAAAACTGCTGGACTTCAAATGGGTGCAAGGAAACAGACTGTGAACCCAGGGTAAGTGTTTCTCTTGCTACCCGTTACCTTTGTGCTAGATGAATGAACTTCTCTCCTCATGCTCAGTTCTGAGAGAGAAGTGTTTGTGAATGCAGTACTTCATGTAGATTGTTGAGAACACAAAGTTTCTTCTTAGTTAGAAAATACACTACATATATATATATATATATGTAGGTACGAGCTCCAAATCAGTTTTACTGTGAAATTTGCAGGAACTTCAAACCAGCACTAGGAAACAGACTGAAAAACCATAGTAAGTTTCTATCCTGAAACTGGTTCCCTTTGTCCTATATGAGTGAAAGTATTGCCTCATTCATATTACTTAGAGAAATTCATGTGTAAATGCCTTCTTTTACCTAGCTTGTTAAGAACTCAAACTTTCTTATCTGTTGGAAAATATATTGCATAAATATATATGGGGAGGTACAAGCTCCAAGGCAGTTTTTCAGTGAAAAATGCAGGAACTTGAAACTCGCACTAGGAAACAATCTGAGTAACCAGAGTAAGTGTTTCTACTGCAACATATTCCCTTTTGCTGTATGAGTGAACGTCTCTCCACATGCTCAATTCTGAGAGATATTTGTGTGTGAAATCCATCCTTCACCTAGCTTGTTGGGAAAACAAAATTCTTTTCTGTTTGAAATTACACTACATATATATATATATATATATATATATATATATATATATATATATATATATATATATATACACTGAGGTTAGGCCTCCTAGTAGGCTTAAGAGAAAAAAACAGGAACTTAAAAGAAGCAATCAGAAATAGACTGAGACAACAGAGAAAAGTTTCTTCTTCCATCTGTTCCCTTTGTGCTTGATGAACTAATGCCTTTCCACATGCTGTGTTCTGAGAGATAAGTATGTGTAAATACCATACTTCTCTTAGCTTGTTGGGAACACAAAATTTCTTTCATTTGGAAGATACACTACATATATATAATATGAGTAGTACGAAATCCACCTCCGTTTTTCAGTGAAAAATGCACGTACTTGAAACTGGCACTAGGAAACATACTGAGAAAACAGAGTAAGTGTTACTCCTGCAATTCGTTTCATTTGTGCTATGTGAACGATCGTCTCTCCTCATGCTTAGTCCTGAGAGATAAGTGTGTGTGAAAGCCATCATTCAACTAAGTTCCTGGGAACATAAATTTTCTTTTCAGTAGGAAACTACACTTCATACATATATATGGTGTGATATTCTATCCAACAAGGTTTTACAGTGAAAATTTCAGGCAAATTGAAACCAAAACTAGGAAACAGACTGAGAAACCAGAGTAATTTTTCTCCTGAAACCCGTTCACTATGTGCTAGATGAGAGAAAGTTTTTCACATCCTCAATTCAGAGAGAAAAGTGTGAGTGAAATCCGTCCTTCCCTAAGCTGTTGGGAACACAAAGATTCTTTTCAGCTGGAAAGAACATTACATATATATATAAGGGAGGTGATAGCTCCACTGGTTTTACAATGAAAACTGCAGGAAGTTCACACCAGAGTTAGGAAATAGCCTGAGAAACTACAGCAAGTGTTTCTCCTGAAACCTGTTCCCTTTGTGCTAGTGGAACGAACTTCTCCCCATATGTTTAGTTTTGAGAGATTATAGTTTGGAATCCAACATTCACCTTGTCTATTGGAAACAAAAAATTTGTTTTCAGTTGAAAACTACACTACATATTTTATAAGGGGAGGTATTAGTGTCAAATCACTTTTAAACTGAAAACTGAAGGATTAACAAACAGGCAGCAGTAAATAGCCTGAGAAACCAGAGCAAGTGTTTTTCTTGCAACCCGTTCCTTTGTGCTACATGAACGAACATCTCTCCCCATGCTGAGATCTGAGATATGAGTGTGTGAAGGCCGACATGCCCTATGCTTGTTGGAACACAAAGTTTCTTTTCTGTTGGAAACTACACTTCATACATACATATGGGGAGGTACTAAAAACTCCATTTTACAGTGAAAACTGCAGGAAATTCAACCAAGCACTGTGCAACAGAGTGAGAAACCAGAGTAACTGAATCACCTGCATCCCTTTCAATTTGTGCTAGATGAACGAATGTCTCTCCACATGCTCATTTCTGAGAGACAACAGTGTGTGAAAGTGAACTTCCAACTATCTTGTTGGGAACACATAGTTTCTTGTCAGTTGGAAACTACACTTCATACATATACATGGGGAGGGACGAAATCCAACTCGGTTTCATACTGAAATTGGCAGGAACTTCAAACTGGCACTAGGAAAGAGACTGATATGACATAGTAAGTGTTTCTTCAAAAACCATTCCATTTGTGCTATATGAACAAAAGTCTTTCCTCATCCGCATTTCTTAGAGAAAAGTGTGTGTGAAAGCCATACTTCACCTAGCTTGTTAAGAACACACAGTTTCTTTTCATTTGGAAACAACACTACTTACATTTATATGGTGAGGTATGAGCTCCAACTTGATTTAACAGTCAAAACTGCAGTAACTACAAACAGGATCAAGGAAAGAGACTGAGTAAACAGAGTAATTGTTTTTCCTGCAACCAGTTTCCCTTGTGCTAGATGAACAAACATCTTTCCTCATGCTCTGTTCTGAGATATAAGTGTGTGTGAAAGGCGTATTTCACATAGATTGTTGGGAACACAAAGTTTCTTTATAATTGGAAGCAACACTACATAGATATATATGGGGAATTGCATGCTCCAACACAGTTTTTCAGTGAAAACTGCAGGAATATCAAACCAGATTTAAGAAACAGATAGAGAAACCAGAGTAATTGTTTATTCTGCAACCCATTCGTGTTGTGCTACATGAAGGAACATCTCTCCACATGCTCAGTTCTGAGAGATAAGTGTACATTTAAGCCGACTTCACCTACCTTGTTTTGTACACAGAGTTTCTTTTAACTTAGAAACTACAATACATACATACATATTGGATGGCACTATTTCATAGAAGGTTTTACAGTGAAAATTGCAGGAACATTAAACTGACTCTAGGAACCAGACTGAGAAAGCAGCATAAGTGTTTTGCATGCAAAATGGTCCCATTGGGCTATATGCATTAACATCTCTCCACATGCTCATTTCTGAGAAATAAGTGTCTTTCAAAGCATTCATTCCCTTTGCTTGTTAGGAACACACAGTTTCTTTTCAGTTGGAAATTGCACTGCATGTGTATTTATGGTGAGGCGCTGGCTGTAAATTTATTTTACAGTGCAAACTGTAGGAAATTGCAACTGGTATTAAGAACCAAACTGAGAAAGCATAGTAAATGTTTCTCCTGCAAACTTTTCACTGAGTGCTAGATCAATGAACATCTCTCGACATGCTCAGTTGTGACAGATAAATGTGTGTAAGAGCCGTCCTTCACCTAACTTGTGGGGAACACAAAGTTTCTTTTCAGTTGCAAATTCCATCGCATACATATATATGGGGGGTACAAGCTCCAACTCGATTTTACAGTGAAAACTGCAGGAAGTTCAAACCGGCACTCAGAAATTGACTGAGAAACCAGAGTAAGTGTTTCTCCTGCAACCCGTCCATTTGTGCTAGATGAAGAAACGTCTGTCCACATGCTCAGTTCTGAGAGATAAGTGTGTGTGAAAGCCATCCTTCACGTTGCTTGTTGGGAACACAAAGTTTCTTATGTGTTGCCAACTCCAATACCTACATATATATGGGGAGGTAAAAACTCCGAATAGGTTTCACACTGAAAACTGCAGGACCTTCTAACCGGCACTAGGGAACAGACTGAGATTCCAGAGTAAGTGTTTCAACTGCACCCGTTTCATTGTTGCTAGATGAAGTATGTCTCAAGCTCAGTTCTGAGAGATAATTGTGTGTCAATGCTGTCCTTCACCTAGCTTTTTGGGAACACAAAAGTTATTTTTTCAGTTGGAAACTCCACTATATTTTTATAACTTGGGAGGTTAAAACTTGTACTCGGTTTTACAGAAAAAAAGTGCGGAAATTCAAAGTGGCACTAAGAAACAGACTGAGAAAACAGAGTAAGTGTTCCTCCTGCCAGCCGTTCCCCTGTACTAGATGAAAGAACGTCTCTCCACAAGATCACTTCTGATGGATAAGTGTGTCTTAAAGCTGTGCTTTTCCTAGGTCTTGGGATCACAAATACTCTTTTCAATTAGAAACCCCACAGTGTACTTATATGTGGAGAGTTACAAGTTCCAACTCGTTTTTACACTGAAAACTGCAGGAACATCCACCCGGCACTAGGATACAGATTGAGAAAAGAGGGAATGTGTTTCTCCTGCAACTGTTCCATTGTTTCTAAATGAAAGAAAGTCTCTCGAAATGCTCAGTTCTGAGGGTTTAGTGTGTGTGAAAGCCAACCTTCTCCTAGCTTATTGGGAACAGAAATTTTCTTTTCAGATGGAAAATCCACTGCATATTTATATGTGGGGTGGTACAAGCTCCGAAACTGATTTACAGAGAAAAGTGCAAGAACTTCAAAATGGCACCAGAAAACAGACTGAGAAACCAGAGTAAGTGTTTCTCCTGCCAAACGTTCCCTTGTGCTAGATAAACGAAATTCTCTCCTCATGCTACGTTCTGAGAGAAAAGTGTGTCTTAAAGGCATGCTTTACCTTAATTGTTGGGAACATAAAGTTTCTTTTCAGTTTGAAACAGATCTACATACTTCTATGTGTGAGGTACAAGCTCCAAATCGTTTAAACGTGGAAAATGTAGGAATTTCAAACCGGCACTAGGAAGCAGAGTGAGAAATTAGAGTAATTGTTTCTCCTGCATAATTTTCCCTTTGAGGTAGTTGAACAAACGTCTCTCAACATGCTCATTTCTGAGAGAAAAGTGTGTGTGAAAGACATTCTTCACTTATCTTCTTGGGTTCACAAATTTTCTTTTAATTTGGAAAGTCTGTTGCATACTTATATGTGGGGAGGTACAAGCTCCAACCCGGTTTTACAGTGAAAACTGCAGGAACTTCAAACCGACACTAAGAAACAGGCAGAGAAGCCAGAGAAAGTATTTTCCCTGCAACCTGTTGCATTTGTGCTTCATGGACAAACGTCTCTCCACATGCTCAGTTCTGTGAGATAAGTGTGTCTTAAAGCCGTAATTTACCTATCTTGTTGGGAACACAAACATTTTTTTCAGTTTGAAAATCCAAAGTATACATATATGTGGGGATGTACAAGCTACAACTCGGGTTTTAAGTGAAACTTTCAGAAACTTCAAACCGGCACTTGGAAACAGACTGAGAAACCAGAGTAACTGTTTCTCCTGCAACACGTTCCGTTGATGCTAGATGAATGAACTTCTCTAAACATGCTCAGGTCTGAGAGACAAGTGTGTGTGACAGGAAACATTCACCTAACTTGTTTGGACATAAAGGTCCTTTTAATTTGGAAATCCTAGTATATACTTGTATAGTGCAGAGGTACAAGCTCCTAATCATGTTTATAATGAAAAATAGACAGGAATTTCAAACCGGTAGGAGGAAACAGACTGAGAAATCAAGGTAAGTGTTTCTCCTGCATCCTGTTCCATGTGTGCCAGATGAACATATGTCTCTCCACATGCTAAGATTTGAGAGATGTTGGTTTGTGTAAACCATCCTTCTTCTAGCTTATTGGGAACAGAAATTTTCTTTACAGTTGGAAACTCCACTGCATACATATACGTGGGAAGGTACAAGCTTCCACACTGTTTTACAGAGAAAAGTGTAGGAAAATCAAAACGACACCAGGAAACAGACTCAGAAACCAGAGTAAGTTTTACTTCTGCCAATTTTTTTTGTGCTAAATATACAAAATTCACTCCACATGCTAAGTTCTGAGAGAAAAGTGTGTCGTAAAGTCATGCTTTACCTTAATTGTTGGGAACACAAAGTTTCTTTTCAGTTTAAAACCCATCTACATACTTATAGGTGCGAGGTATAAGCTCCAAATCAGTTTTACAGTGGAAACTGTAGGAACTTCAAACCTGCACTTCGAAACAGACTGAGAAATCAGACTAATTGTTTCTCCTGCATCCCGTTCCCTTTGTGTTAGTTGAGCAAACGTCTCTCAACATGCTCATTTCTGAGAGTTAATGTGTTTGAAAGACGTTCTTCACCTATCTTCTTATGTACACAAATTTTCTTTTCATTTGGAAATTCAGCAACTTATATGTGGGTAGGTACAACTTCCAACTCGGTTTTCAAGTGAAAACTGCAGGAACTTCACACCGGCACGAGGAAACAGTCCTAGAAACCAGATTTATTGCTTCCCTACAACCTGTTCAATTGCTGCTAGATGAATGCACGTCTCTCCACATGCTAAGTTCTGAGATATAAGTGTTTATGAAAACTGATGTTCACCTAGCTTGTTGAGAACACAAAGATTCTTTTCATTTGGAAATCAAAGTACATACTTATATGAGGCGTTGCTAAATCTCCAACCTGGATTTACAGTGAAAAATTCAGGAAGTTCAAACCGACACTAGGAAACAGACTGAGAAAAGAAAGTAAGTGTTTATCCTGCACCCATTCCCTTTGTTCTACATGGACGAACGTCTCTCCACATGCTCAGTTCTGAGTGACAATTGTGTGTGAAATCCGTCCTTGACCTACCTTTTTGGGAACACAAAGATTCTTTTCAGTTGCAAACACCACTTCATACATATATATGGGGAGGTACAAGCTCCAATTTGATTTTACAGGGAAAAATGCAGGAAATTCAAAAAGTACCTTGGAAGCATACTGAGAAACATTAGTAAGTGTTTCTCCTGCAATCCTTTCCCTTTGTGCTAGATCAATGAACGTCTCCCCACATGCTCAGTTCTGAGAGATAATTGTGTGTGAAAGCCGTCCTTCACTTAACTTGTTGAGAGCACAAATTTCTTTTCATTTGCCAACTCGACTACATTCATATATATGGGGATGTACAAACTCCAAGTCGATTTTTCAGTGAAAACTGCAGGAATTTCGAACCGCAACAAGGAAACAGGCTGAGATAGCATAGAAAGTGTTTCTCCTGCAATCCGTTCCCTTTGTGCTTGATGAACGAACGTCTCTCCACATGATCAGTTCTGAGAGATAATTGTGTGTGCAAGACGTACTTCACTTTCCTGTAGAGAACACAAAGAATCTTTTTAGTTGCCAACTTCTCACTATACATATATATGGGGAAGTGCAAGCTCCAACTCGGTTTTTTAGTGAAAACTGCAGGAACTTCAAACTGGTACTAGGAAACAGACTGAGAATCCTGAATAAGTGTTTCTCCTGCAACTCGTTCCTTTTCTGCTAGATGTACAATAGTCTATCCACATTCTCAGTTCTGAGAGTTAAGTGTGAGTGAAAGCTGGACTTCCCCTTGCTTGTTGGCAACACAATGTTTCTTATTAGTTCGCAACTTCAATACATACATATATATGGGGAGGATCAATCTCCAAATTGGTTTTTCAGTGAAAATTGTAGGAACTTCTAACTGGCACTGGGAAACAGAGTGAGAAACCAGAGTAAGTGTTTCAAATGAAATCCGTTCCCTTTGTGCTAGATTAAGGAATGTCTCTCCACATGCTCAGTTCTGAGAGTAAGTGTGAGTGAAAGCTGTCCTTCATCTAGCTCATTGGGAACACAAGATTCTTTTCAGTTGGAAACTCCAACCCCTATATATATATGGGGAGGTACAAGATTCAACTTGGATTTAAAGTCAAAACTGCTGGAATTTCAAATCTGCACTAGGAAACAGATTGAAAACCGAGAGTAAATATTTCTACTGCAAACCATTCACTTTGTGCTGCATAAACGAACAACTATCTCTCCATATGCTCAATTCTGGGAGATAACTGGGTGTGAAAGCCATATCAGAACAAGCTTGTTGGGAACACAAATTTTCTTTTCAGTTGCAAGTACCACAACATACATATATATGGGATGGTAAAAGATCCAACTTTGTTTTTCACTGAAAACTGAAGGAACGTCAAACCGGCAATAGGAAACAGTATAAGAAACCGGAGTATGTGTTTCTCCTTCAACCCGTTCCTTTTGAGCTTGATGAACGAAAGTCTCTCCACATGCTCAGTTCTGAGAGAGAAGTTTGTGTGAAAGCCGTACTTCACCTAGATTGTTGGGAACCCAAAGTTTCTTTTCAGTTGCAAACTGCACCACATACATATATATGGGATGGTACAACCTACAATTTGGTATTACAGTAAAAACTACAGGAACTTCATTCCGGCACTAGGAAACAGACTGAAAAAACACAGTAAGTGATTCCCCTGCAAACTCTTCCTTTTGTGCTAGATGAACGAACGTCTCTCCACATGTCCATTTCTGAGAGATAAGCGTGCGTGAAAACGATACTTCAACTGACTTGTTGGGAACACAAATTTTGCTTTCACTTGCAATCACCACTACAAACATGTATATTGGGAGGTACAAGCTCCAACACTATATTACACTGAAAACTGGAGGAACTTCAAACCGGCACTCAGAAACATACTGAGAAAAAAGAGTAAGTGTTCTCCTGCAACTCGTTCCCTTTGTGCTAGATGAACAAAAGTCTCTCCACATGCTCAGTTCTTAGATATAAGAGTGAGTGAAAGTCGTGCTTCACCTACCTTGCAGGGAACACAAAGTTTCTTTTAAGTTGCAAATTCCACTACATAATTATACATAGGGAGATGCAAGCTCCAACTCGGTTCACAGTGAAAACTGCAAGAACTTCTAAAAGGCACACGGAAACAGACTGAGAACCCAGAGTAAGTGTTTCTCCTGCAACCCGTTCCCTTTTTGCTAGATGAATGAACGTCTCTCCACATGCTCAGTTCTGAAAGATAAGTGTGTGTGAAAGCCACCCTACACCTAGCTTGTTGGGAACACAAAGAATCTTTTAAGTTGCCAACTCCACTGCATACATA